TCGCACCACGCGGCTATAATACTTGATGGACAGAAAAAAGCCAAAAAAAGAATTTTCCTGTTTTTCTGCATTTATTTCATCACAGGAATTATCAGTTCGGGATGCTCATGATAATTGTATATAATTATCATGGTGACATTATTGTTTTTATTTCACAGCTTCTGGGTTTGGAATAGACAACATTGTGATTGCAGGACTCTCAGACCATAATGTATCATATAGTACTGTCGCAGCAAGTCAGGGGAGGGTCTACACCTTTCTTCTGCTAGAGGTAGCTATTATACAGAGGATTACTGTGCTAAAAATGTTATTCATCCCACTAAACGTCATCTCACTAGCTCATTAGGTAATCTAAAGACTGTGTGTATGTATGTAGTGTGTACATTATAGTCAGACTTGGTCAAAATTAATCGAGAACATCGGGCTCCGCCCTCGGACGGTATTGAAAACCACTTGCGCCGCCCGTGGGTTAACCATTACGTAAACTCACTGTGGTATCCAAGACCCCTTCCCGATAGTCCTTATTAGCATATAAACTTATTAGCTGTCATTCATTTACCTTTACCTTTGGATTGCACATCTATACAGACAATCTTTTGTCTAGTTAACTACTTGCATATTTGTTTCCCTAGGCAATATTTGTTCCAGTTCAAGGATTTTTGAATGCCCTGGCCTATGGATGGACACGTGAGGATTTCCTAACTGCCATGTCATCACAACGCTCTCTGACTTCATCAACTGCTGACTGGAGAGCCACTGCAGAGGAGGAGAATGATGAAACGGATCAGCTGCAGAGCCAGCACTCTGTCTTGTCCTCAAGTATAGATGAAGGGGAACTAGAAGAGACTGTTGCTGAAAACGTGTAGCGGTTTGACAAAACAACCTCCTGCCTTGCATGCAGCAATGTCTTGCATAATAACCGTATAGACTGTTTCAAACAGCATTCATGAACTGACAACATTCTCTTTAGAAACCACTTTTGACATGATTGTATTGTCTTGACGGTTTGTGCATGCTGCTTTGGGAAATACTATGTTTTTGAAGCAAAAATGCTTACAAGCCAAATACTTGAAATTGGGACCAAATATACCAAACAATTGAAACTATCAAAACATTTAGTATAATAATTATTATAGCCACTAGACCAGACCCTGCCTCCAGGAGAAGAAAATGGTCTGGTGAACAACTATCATTGTCAAGTAGAAGGGCAAGAAGGTCCATCACAGTTGTTAATGACAAAAATCATTATTACAGTCAACTGGTCACTTTAGTAGCATTAAAATTAATAATAGTATAAGACAGTGTGAAAAACGTTCACAATAATGATTGTGATTCAATGAAAACGAAACATGGATGGCAGTGACTTGCTGCCAGTCCTCGTGGGAAGGAGAAGCTCACTGACGTGATTCAGTCCATTGCCGTTGCTGGTCTTGTGGTGCAGGTATTCACTGAACCTTCGAAACAGACGTGGGGATTTCTCTGCCTTGGTTAGAGTAACTTTGTCCTGCTGGAGTTTGTCTATGGCAATCAAAGTGTCCTGAGCTTGTTCCACTGTGGTGATGGTGTCTTCAACTGTGTCATTTTGTTCTTGCTTGGCACCAAAAAGAGTTCCATTCTTAGCAATAGTGTCCTGAGCCAAAAGCTGAACTGCATTGTTTGTGGCTGTGCCCTCATCTGCTTCCATCCCTTCATCACCCTGCTCATCAGTGACTCCATCCTGAACTGCTTCATTTCCCCGAACAGCTGTGTCAGTATTCTGAAGAGTGTCTTCCTCCTGCTCCGTTGTGACAGTGTCCTGTACATATTGATTCGGTTCGGCAATGTTCTCCTGCTCAGCAGTGGTCATTGTCTCCTGAACAGTGTTCTGCTCAGTTGTGACTGTGTCCTGAACTTTCTCAGCAGTGGCAGTGTCCTGAACTTGCTCAGCTGTGACAGTGTCCTGAACTTGTTCAGTTGTGACAGTGTCCTGAACTTGCTCAGTTGTGACAGTGTTCTGAACTTGCTCAGCTGTGACAGTTTCTTCAACTTCAACTATGTCTTTCTCCAGCTCAACTGCGACACTGTCCTGAATTGCTTCATTCACCGGCTCAGCTGTTGTGACAGTGCCGTGAACTGCTACATCCTCCTGCTGACCAGTTACTGTGTCCTGAACTGTTACATTCTCCTGCTCAGCTGTTGCAGTGTCCTGAACTTGCTCAGCAGTGGCAGTGTCCTGAACTTGCTCAGCTGTGACAGTGTCCTGAACTTGTTCAGTTGTGACAGTGTCCTGAACCTTGCTCAGTTGTTTGTGCTTCTGACAGGTGTCCTGAACTTGCTCAGCTGATGCAGTTTCTCTCAACTTCAACTATGTCTTCTCCAGCCTCAACTGGCGACACTGTCCTGACTTGCTTCCTCCACGGCGCTCAGCTGTTGTGACCAGTGTCCGTGAACGGCTACCTCCTCTGCTGGACCAGTTACTGTGCCCTTCTGAACTGTACATTCTCCTGCTCACGCTGTGCAGTGTCCTGAACTTGTCTCAGCAGTGGCACTGTCCTGACTTGCTCAGTCTGTACAGTGTCCGGAACTGAACTTGTTCAGTTGTGACAGTGTCCTGACCGTGCTCAGGAAAGAAAAAGGAGAGTGGTGATAGTGACAGTGTCCGTGAACTGTGCTCAGCTGTGACAGTTTCTTCAACTTCAACTATGTCTTTCTCCAGCTCAACTGTCTACACTGTCCTGAATTGGCTTCATTCACCGGCTCAGCGTTGTGACAGTGCCGTGAACTGCTACATCAACATCCTCCTGCGCCAGTACTGTTTCCTGAACTGTTACATTCTCCTGCTCAGCTGTTGCAGTGTCCTGACACCGCTTTATTTTCCCGATCAGGTGTGGCAGTGTCCTGAACTGCTTCGTTTTTCCACTCAACTGTGGCAGTGTCCTGAACTGTTTCGTTCTCCTGGTCAGTGTCCTGAACTGCTTCGTTCTCCAGCTCAGCTGTGGCAGTGTCCTGACCTGCTTCGTTCTCCTGCTCAGCTGTGGCAGTGTCCTGACTGCTCGCTTCTTCTCCTCGCTGTGGGCAGTGTCCTGACCTGCTTCGTTCTCTCTGCTCAGCTGTGGCAGTGTCCTGAACTGCTTCGTTCTCCTGCTCAGCTGTGGCAGTGTCCTGAACTGCTTCATTATCCTGCTCAGATGTGGCAGTGTCCTGAACTTGCTCGGCTGTGACAGTGTCCTGAACTTGCTCAGCTGTGACAGTGTCCTGAACTTCCTCAGTTGTAACAGTTTCTTCAACTATGTCTTTCTCTAGCTCAACTGCGACACTGTCCTGAATTGCTTCATTCACCGGCTCAGCTGTTAGTGTGTCTGGAGCTGCTTCTCCTTTCTCTGGCTCAGCCATGTCAGTATCAACATTCTCTATGGCATTGAGCATGTCTGCTTTGTTTTCCTGCTCGGTTGTGACAGTGCCGTGAACTGCTACAACCTCCTGCTGACCAGTTGCTGTGTCCTGAACTGTTACATTCTCCTGCTCAGCTGTGGCAGTGTCCTGAACTGCTTTATTTTCCCGATCAGGTGTGGCAGTGTCCTGAACTGCTTCATTTTTCCACTCAACTGTGGCAGCGTCCTGAACTGTTTCGTTCTCCTGGTCAGTGTCCTGAACTGCTTCGTTCTCCAGCTCAGCTGTGGCAGTGTCCTGAACTGCTTCGTTCTCCGGCTCAGCTGTGGCAGTGTCCTGAACTGCTTCGTTCTCCTGCTCAGCTGTGGCAGTGTCCTGAACTGCTTTATTTTCCCGATCAGGTGTGGCAGTGTCCTGAACTGCTTCGTTTTTCCACTCAACTGTGGCAGCGTCCTGAACTGTTTCGTTCTCCTGCTCAGTGTCCTGAACTGCTTCGTTCTCCAGCTCAGCTGTGGCAGTGTCCTGAACTGCTTCGTTCTTCTGCTCAGCTGTGGCAGTGTCCTGAACTGCTTCGTTCTCCTGCTCAGCTGTGGCAGTGTTCTGAACTGCTTCGTTCTCCCGCTCAGCTGTGACAGTGTCCTGAAATATTTCGTTTCTCCTGCTCAGTGTCCTGAACTGCTTCATTCTCTTGATCAGTTGTGGCAGTGTCCGGAACTGCTTCGTTCTCCTGCTCAGCTGTGACAATGTCCAGAACAGCTTCGTTCTCCTGCTCAGATGTGGCAGTGTCCTGAACTGTTTCATCTTCCGGCTCAGCTGTGGCAGTGTCCTGAACTGCTTCGTTTTCCTGCTCAGCTGTGGCAGCATCCTGAACTGCTGCATTCTCCTGCTCAGATGTGGCAGTGTCCTGAAATGTTTCGTTCTCCTGCTCAGGGTCCTGAACTGCTTCGTTCTCCTGCTCAGCTGTGACAGTGTCCTGAACTGTTTCATTCTTCTGCTCAGCTGTGACAGTGTCCTGAACTGCTTCATTATCCTGCTCAGCTGTGACAGTGTCCTGAACTGCTTCGTCAGCTGTGAAAGTGTCCTGAATTCCTTCAGGAAACTGATCAAATGTGACAGCGTCCTGAACTGTTTCGTCAGGTGTGAAGGTGTCCTGAACTCTTTCGTTCTCCTGCTCAGATGTGGCAGTGTCCAGAACTGCTTCATTCACCCGATCAAGTGTGGCAGTGTCCTGAACTGTTTCATTCTGCTGTTCAGCTGTGACAGTGTCCTGAACAGCTGTTACAGTGTCCTGAACTGCTTTGTTCTCCTCAGCCGTGACAGTGTACTGAACTGCTGCGTTCTCCTGCATGTCCTGAACTTGCTCAGCAGTGACGGTGTCCTGAACTTGCTCAGCTGTGACAGTGTCCTGAACAGCTGTTACAGTGTCCTGAACTGCTTTGTTCTCCTCAGCTGTGACAGTGTACTGAACTGGTTCGTCAGCTGTTACAGTGTCCTGAACTTGCTCATCGGTGACAGTGTCCTGAACTTGCTCAGCTGTGACAGTGTCCTGAACTTGCTCATCGGTGACAGTGTCCTGAAATTGCTCAGCTGTGACGGTGTCCTGAACCTGCTCAGCAGTGACGGTGTCCTGAACGTACTCAGTAGTGATGGTGTCCTGAACTTGCTCAGCTGTGACAGTGTCCTGTACTTGCTCACTTGTGACAGTGTCCTGAACTTGCTCAGCTGTGACTGTGTCCTGAACTTGCTCAGCAGTGACAGTGTCCTGAACTTGCTCAGTAGTGACAGTGTCCTGAACTTCCTCAGCTGTGACTGTGTCCTGTGCTCGCTCAGCGGTGACAGTTTCCTGAACTTGCTCAGTTGTGACAGTGTCCTGAACTTGCTCAGCTGTGACGGTGTCCTGAATAGCTTCTCTCTCCTGCTCAGCTATAGTTATGTCTTGAGCAAAGTTTGATTCTGCACTGATGACCTCGTAGCTGATGAGTCTCGGGATAAACTGCTCCACCTTCTCCAGGAGGTATTTTGTCCCAGATCGGTGGGGGTTGGCTTCCACCATGGTCTCCAGGACATCTTTGTACAGGCTCAGTTTGGACAGGAGGTCTGTCTTCACCTTCCTCTGCTCAGTGGCCAGGTAGTTAGTCATGTTCCGGTGGTGAGAGGTGTTGGGCTGAACCAGTCGAGGGTCCCGGAGAGAGTGCTTGCTCAGGGGAGACACCCGGCGTTTGAGTCGTCGGCTGGGTGGCACGTAACCCGTCTCAGGAGTGGCGGCAGCAGAGGCAGAGGGGTGTGGTATGTTCTCCATGACTTGATCCATATCCCCCAGCTGCTTCACTACCGGTGCAGGCGGCGAGACATCCTGTAGTCAAAAACAGTGAAGTGACTGTTAACACCATGGGCAGTATTGGCAGTAGATACTGAGACAAGTTAATGAGAACACACAATCAGTGGTATTCAGCTTCCTCACCAATGTGGGAAGGTTAGGTTGATTTTCAGCCTGCTTCATTTCCTTCTTGGGTGTTTTGTTGCTCTGCTTTTTGGCAGTCTTGTTGGCCTCCCTCTTCTTTTCCTCTTCCATGATCTCCTGAATGAACCAAGATACATAGTCCTAGCATCATGAAAAAAGACTCTGGTTCTGGCAAAGGGTTAACCCCCACCCCTTTCCGACTTCACTGACAATGCACATGCATGTTCTTTTGGAGTGAATGTGTGGCAATTGGTAAAGTCACCTTCACCCCTTCCCCCGTTAACTATTAGAAACCGTGTGGCCTACTGTGGGGATGTGTAACAAACCTCAGCTGTTCTCTTGAGGGCAATGAGAGCTGTGCTCTTCTGGTGAGCAGTCCTGAGGTCCGTCTTGAGGGTTGCCAGCTCCTGGTCCAATTGCCAGAGAGAGTCCTTCAACTCTGCACGCTCCCTGTAAAACAACACATACAAACAGGCAGTTAGCCCACTCTTTTAGACCAAGGTAAAAGCTGACGGACTATAATCACACTTGTACACAACAACTACATATATACAGTGTGGAAACTGGTTACATACGCAGTTTCGCAGAACACACCATGCTATCGATGATTATTTTACACCGATAATAGTATCGTCTAGTCTAGCTACTTAGCTACTATATTATACTGATAACAGTACTTACTGGAGTGCAGCACTGTGGGCATCAATTGCCTCCCTTTGGACTCTTTCCAAAGCTTCACCCTCTATTTGCATCATGAGGTCATTACACCTCATCTCCTCAGGGGTGTACTCAATCCTCTCCGGCTCCGCATCTTTGTGCACAGTGAAGTAAGCCGTGTCCAAGGTGTGCATGTCGAGACTCGTTGCCGTGGAGCCAACTGTGGTCTCAGTAGACCAGCTGGACTGTACTTTCATCTTGTCAATAGACTCCTTCACTGCAGCCTGTACTCCAGCGACACTGCCACCCTGCATGTGCAAAGAACACATAAATCTAGGGTAGCAGCTGCAGCAAAGCGCATACAGTGCAGCTATGTAGCTATTAGCTACATATCTTTACCAAACGTGCGCAGCCAGGCCAACGAACCTCGTTAGTAGGAGATCCTTGTTGTGACTGCTGGTCCGCGCAGCTAGCGGCGGTAGCGATTTCGAGATCTGAAGTGCGATCCCCGCCGTCCTCGCCGTCCAGCGTCCCTGCACGCTTCAGCTGCTCGTAACGACGCTGGGTTCGCTCCTCAGCTGCGCGCACTTCCTGCAGCTTTTCCTCCAGCTTGGCATGATTCTTGCCCTCAAGCTCCCTGCGAGTGGGGTAACGATGAAGCTTGTTGTCGCTTTTGCGATTCTTCTTGGACGATCGGCGTCGCTTGGCGTCCCCGCGCGCCCGCGAAGAGAATGGGCGAGTCTCAGCATCGTACTTGTCCGTAGATGACATGATTGACTTGTTTGCTGTTTGAATAAATACGTTGCAATCGTATGCAAAAAGGCACCCGATAAAGTGCAGCCTTCTCTGAAGTAAACTTCTGACAGAAGACGCCAAACGACTCGCGCGTCCTGCCTTTATCGCGATCGCGCGGGGCAGCGTCCATCCGCGCATGCGCATTGTTGGTCGTCGTCAAGTTAAGTGAGGTCAGGGAGCTTCAGCGCATCCAACCAAACACGGCACACACGGGGCCAGCGAGTGTCTCATAAAAGACAGAAGATGTCTACCAGACGACTAGCGTTTTCTCATCATGATAAAGGCTCCATTGTCATTGAAATTGGAAGGATGTACACTAAGTGAGAAGTGCACCAGCGCACGGACGTGTTTTTAGAACTACTTACACCCTCTGTACCTTCTGGGTACTTAGCGTGAACACCTGCTCGTTAGAAGCATATCTGTGTTAGGTACTGTCGCGACTGTAGTCGCCAGGTTAGTCGCCCAAGTTCCTATTCTAATTGACGCGCACTTTATGTTGTTAGTCTATTGTGCATCCAGTCTTAGTGGGCACGTGTTGGTGTCTACCTATAAGGTCTAGGCAAATTATGTGACTGAGTCAGTACTGATGGCTGTTGTCGATACATTACTAGTGGTACTTCTCTTGTCGTGTGCACTCTGTGTGTAGGGTTGGGTTGTCAGGAGAGCCAGCCCCTCGCCATGTCATCAGAAGCAGGGTGGAGATGAAGCCGTATGGTGCAGTACGTTATCACTCAGATCTATACACCATTTTCAACTTTACATTGATAAAGCATGCCGGTGTGTATGTAGTACATACATTATGACTCCGTCTGACTGCAGCTGCAAGACGTGTGGGATCCCAAGTATCTTCACCGGGAGGAGCTGTATCTCATCCTCTCCAGATTCTTACAGAACATCTATCTTAAGTATAATTATGTTCTTAATGACAGGCATCACTTGTGTAAATGTACAGAGGCTTTTGTAGGTGGTATTGCCTTCTATGCAGTGTCACGGGCTCACACCTTACTTGGAAAAAGTGTTTTTACCCTCGGCGCTCATGCGCAGCGAGGGTACAGTAGTTGGGTCTGTCTGTTTGTTTGTCTGTTTGTTTGTCTGTTACTCTACATCTCACTCCTCGAACGTCTGTTTGTCCCAAAAACGATACCATCTACCCAACGGGCGACGAAGGTCAGAAAATAAAGGCGGTTTTCTCTGAAAATGCTCCGTTGCAAAGCTAGAGCGCGAAAAAGCCAATATGCAAATACACAACGGCTTACCACAGTCGGATCGATCCGCATACTTCGGAGGCACCAGAAGATGCAACGCAGGGCGTGTATCGCCTCTCGCATGCTATCTAGTAGTGTAGTTAGCCTGCGTCAGACTCTGCGCGAGCTGGCAAGAGACCACGAGTAGCAGCTCAAACTAAACCCAGCCCATCAATTAGTGGTACGGCGCATGCGTTTACTTACGCGTGCGCGTCACAGTGCGCCGAGGGTTTGCACTTCAGTGCTTTTCGTTTCCATAAGACGTACTTTGTATGTTTGGAGCTGCTCTGAGAAATTGGTGCCTTGCAATGGAAGCATCCACTGGTTGTATGTGGGGGGAGTGGTGATCAATTGAGAGACTGAGATCACGTGTAAATCTACAGAGTAGCCCAGCCCGTTAATTACTGACCTGCACATGCATATTATGGTGCAATGTTTATTCGCGCTGGTCTCTGTCGAGGGTTTGCACTTTAGTGCTTAACGCCTTTTCGAGTGCTTTCTATTACACCCTATCCCTTGGTGCGCAGGGTTACAGTACTTTGTGTGTCCATCTGTCCTTTTCCTGCCACTGTATGCAACAAGACAGTGGTAGAACGACATGAGCTCATGTCAGACTCTCAACTACAGCTATGTACTGGCTAGGGACCACCACGAGTATATCGACAATACATAGCCCAGTCCATCTCAATTAGCGGTACGGTGCAGGCATGATATTATGGGTTCAACGTTCATGAGTGTACCGAGGGTTCTGACTTTAGTGCTTTGTGTACACAATTTTTCATACCATGGTCATCCTATGTATCTTATGATGGTATTACCCCCTTGCTGTACTGTGCACTCTGCATGCATACAACTAACTATTGTATTTCGTTTTTCATACCATGGTCATCCTATGTATATTAAGCTCTTTTCGTGATATTACCCCTTGCTCATGTACTGTGCACTCTGCATGCATACAACTGACTATTAGCTACATCAATACACATCTACACTACTACATGTACATGTTCTTTATGACAGATATCTGATGGTGCCGTCCAAGGACTACCGTGTGCTGGTGGTGGAACCACTGCTGTCCCCATCACATTTCAGGAACACACTGGCCAGGGCACTCTTCAACCATTTCTCAGTGAGAATTGATGTGTAGCACTATAACAGCATGTTTATGTCCACTGCTGTGTGTTCACAGGTGCCTCATGTGGCCTTCATGCCGAGTCCTCTACTGGGCACCTTCTCTCTGGGCAGACAGACTGCGCTAGTGGTTGATATTGGCTGGCTGGAGACTACCGTAATACCTGTATCCTGTACACGTGCTAACAGTGGGAGTCATGGAGTTTTTAATGGGCCTTTTGCCTTGTAGCATGCTGTTCATACACCAACAGTCTGTTTCACAAAGTGTCATCCTTGCCTTTTATACTCTGCAGCTGCCTTCTTTATCAATATTATGTTCATAGTACGTGCACAGTATTTATAGCCTCGTCCCTTCCCTAAGGCCTCCTACTGAATTGCATGGCGGGAAGCTTAATAACCCTTTGGACGACATGGTAAATAAGCAGAAATTGAGTACTAGCACCTAGTATTATAGCCCCCATATACATTCTTATGGACTTATGGAGGCTCTGGACACATTTATGTGTCAGTGGCTGGTTAGGTGTTAAAGATAAGGCAGCTAATGCTACATGTATATTGCTCACCCAAAGCCTTGTAGGGTGGAACAATTCCTGAGTATCTTATTCTGTTCTTGTTTCTTGATGCGAAGATTGCTTATGGTCTTTGCACTTGCTTCAGCCCTCACCTACACATACGATACGTGTACATCTTCCAGGTACATCATTCTTAACCCAAGTTACTAGTTGTACGAAGGTGTTCCCATCATGTCTGCATGGCAAAGTACGAGTTGTGCTGCCAAGACTGTTCACAAGTAAGTACACTAACACAATCAGTTATCACCCTTATATTTTTCATCCATATTTATTGTTACTTGATAGTACGGTGATGGAGTGTTTGATAGAGACAGGAGCCATCACAGACACACACACCCAGGAGCAAAACCCAGCAGGTACGCTCGGTTGTAAGTTAATCTGTGTCTACATGCTATTGTCTACTTACTCCATGCCACCATGTGTGGTGCATCAAACACATGAAGTATATAGCAATTGTGCTTTTACAGACAAGAAAAGGAGCATTAACAATGCCTGCGCAACTATGTTTTGCTCAGACTCTACTAGTCTTGTCATACGAGAGGTGTAGGGGAGCTTCACGGCATAAGGTCAAATTTGAAACACTTTCTACGACCTCTATGTCTCTCTGTTTCCACGTTGATCCCTTTGTGTCGGTGAATAAAGAAAGTTGCCCTATCCCTTTGTAAAAGGTCATGATTCTACTCTCTTAGCAATAGGCACTGTTGTGCACATGCTAATAAAAATGCCTTTGACTGTCATGTGTCCAACTTCCTCTGCCTGTACGTACATACAAGTATAGTTTACTCCTAGCATCACATGATTATCATGTCGTTCATGTTCACAGTGAAGGAACTCATTCAGGGCTCTCTGGAGGACATCATTGGTGAGTGTGTCCTGAACCACATACGTCTGTACATATATATACATACAGTAGCAGGAAGCTTGTGTAATTTTCACTTTCTGAGCCTCAATACATACAGGTTTTGCGAGTGTTGTAACGAAAAAGAGGTATATACTGTACCATTTGTGTGATTTAACACCCTAATCAGGAGAGTTTTCTACCTGTGAACTTTGCAGTTCACCACTAGTCATTGTCCATTCATTATTAATAGTGTCAACGTGTGCTGTGAGAAGTATGGACTGTGACAGGACTCCGCCCGAGGTGTCATTTCCCCTCAGCCAGCAGTACACCCTCTGTCTGCCCGGCCCTGCTCGGTGAGAGACACCACTCACTCTCAAACTTCTGAAATTGCCCTGTTTGGGTTTCCTCTCACACACACAAAGTGTGTGATTAGGACATGCTGGCTACCTTGAAACGTTTACCCTCATCTACCTATAATATTGTACAATGTACACCTCAAAGCTCTCACAGAACCTCCTAGGGGTAGAAACTGCCATACATGTACGTAGGTTGCGATTGTCTCGTCTGAAGAACTTTCATTTTTTAGGAATAATAGGCGTGTATGTACTACATTATGGTGATGTACATTAAAAGCTGTAACACCTCTCCATAGTTTCGCCTGCAAAACTAAAAGGCATCTTTTGTCAGCATAACGATGCAAGCTGCTACCCCACATTTGAACGTGTACACATACATATGTATGTGTATGTCTGCTGTCCCCTGTAGCGACGCATGTGCCGAGGGATTGTTTGAGGAGGGAGAGGGAGATCTGTCACTACCTTCTGCCGTCCTGGAGTCTCTTTTGAAGGTGTACACACACATTTTGGTCTTAACCCAGCAGTATTCTGCCCATGTGGTACACTGTACATGTATCTAGAGTTGTGCTAGTGTAAGGTAGTGTAGTGCTATCTCTCTTCCTCCAGTGTCCCTGTGACTGTCGACGAGATCTGAGTGAGAATGTTCTGGTGTTGGGTGGCATTGCTTCCCTGCCTGGACTCAAGTGAGTCTCTGATAATAATACGGGTGTTAGCATGTTCTTGTGGGTGCATGTTTCTGTGTACATTGAGGGGATGTGGTGATGGTGGTTTGTGCTGGTGGTGGTTTGTGCTTTCTTCCTCCCTCCTCCTACATTGTGTATAATTTATACACATGTACTATTGTGTGCCGCCACACAATTCAATTTAACTAACATTGAACTTGTTTCCCTAACCCTTTGCCCACATACAGTATCAGGTTCCTATTGATGTTGTGAACTAAGGTTCCTATTAATGTTGTGAACTAAGGTTCCTATTAATGTTCTGTCAGCTATCGTCTGAAGCAGGAGCTAGAAAGGCTGGCTGGTGACAAGAATGAGCGGTTCAGTGCCAAGCTGGGAGCTCTGCAGTTCAAGTTCCACCAGCCCCCAGCTCACCCCAGCACTGCCGCCTGGCTTGGAGGTACATACGTAATAGTAACCCTCGGCCCTCATGCAGCAACTAATCCAGGATCAATTCTCACGTGTATTATGCGTACGCCAGTGTTATGGACAACTATAAACAGTTAGCCGGCGCAAGGCAAAAAATATGCTTCTGCAAAGATTACACTCTGGAGTGTATATTTCCATAGTGATCTATTTGTTGTTCCACAGGCTCCATATTTGGTACCTCTGAGGTGGCAGTGCTAGAGAGAGCAGTGAGCAAGGAGAAGTTCAGAGAGATGAACCAGAGACTGCCCGACTGGACTTCGTGTGACCCTGAACAACACGAGCAGCTGAGACCAGTCCCCACCAGGAAGCTCCTCCCTGCAGCCCCCTCCTCTCTCTACAAGTCAACTACCAAGACACAGTCTGCCCACTGATTGCTGTACGTTTTTCACTTGTACGTAATCATGGGATTTTGAATCATCGATAGTTTCATGTTGTATAAAAATAGAATTTCATGATTGTATAAAAATAGGAATTTTGTGATTCGTCGATCAGATGTATAAAAATACAATGTGATTGGGATCTGGTCATTCTTCCTGTGATAATTCTCGTGCCCTCAGCCAGGGGTGGGAGTAGATCTGTTGGAGGGGGATCCTGTTTCGGGGGTCATAGGTCAGCATGAGCAGGATGAGGTCCACGCACTCGAGGGAGAGGGTGTGGGCTAGGGCTGGTGGCTCCTTTCTCTCGTCCAGCAGCTCCTGCAGCGTCCCCTTGTCTCGGAACGGGAGCTTGGCCATGACCATGGCGTACAGGATGATGCCCAGGCTCCACACGTCTGTCAGCTTCCCGTTGTAGTTATCACCGCGGAACAGTTCCGGGGCTCCGTACGCGTAGCTTCCCGTGATGGTGTGGAGGGTCTTGCCGATCTGCCGCCGCGCGCAGCCAAAGTCGGCGATCTTGAGCCGCAGCTTGCTGTCCAGCAGAATGTTCTCCAGCTTCAGATCTCGGTGGATCAGGTCCACGCTGTGGAGCTTGGATATGGCGAGCATGAGGTGGCCGAAAAACTCGCGCGCGTGGTCTTCGCTCAGCGCACCCTTCTGGTTGATGAACTTCCGCAGGTCACCGTAGGGGCAGTACTCCATGACTTGGAACACGCGGTTGCCGTGCAGTATCGTCTCGTACAGGCGAACGATATGGTCGTGTCGGAGTCCTTTCACGGCCAGCGTCTCGCGAATGATCTGCTCGTCGAGCATCATGTAGCGGCCGGAGCGTCGGCTGAACGTCTTCACGGCAACGTACACACCCGTTCGGAGGTCATAGGCGAGCTTGACTTTGGCAAATTCTCCATTGCCGATGGTAGGACCAAGCAGATACGATGGTGGGATGAAGAGGTTGAAACTGTGGTCTCCGCGATGCAGAGGGAGTCGGTTGTTGTTTGCTGTTGCCATGAGGGCGGGGCTCGTAGCGTGCAGATGTGTGAGCGCGTCGGAACAGACGCTACCGCGATGAATTGTAAACGCCTCCTCGTGGAGCAGAATATATTCTCCTATAGCCTTTGGACACAGAATTGGGCCAAGCACTGTCCAGGCGATCGATTAGTTGCAACGAAATCTTCAAGTTCTAAGCGTGACGCGTCGAAATCGCGTAGCAACAGACGCTGTGTGGCTCGTGCGTGGATGAGATCGCTGAGTGCGCCACTGCAGTGCACACGGCGCAGCTAAGCTGCCAACAGCCTGCCTGTATCACCATGGCCTTCTAGAATTTGGTTCCGTTGGACTGTTGAGCCGTGCACGCCATCTCGTTGACATACTTCCGTAAGCCTAGCCGGCGGGGACGCGCGCAAACTTGCGTCGTTACTGTGGCCACCTGTTCCAATTTTTACACGTCCTACTAGTGCAGTTCAGTGGAATTATATGTGCTGCTCTTGCTTCTGGAATCGTGGTTGCATGAATAATTGCATGATTTGGGGCATCAGGGCACACAAAACAATGTTTAAAAATACAGACTCCAAGTGATCACAACACACAAAATGAACTATCGAGACAACATAATTATGCTACTGTCACTATAGAAGGAAAAGTGCGACCATCAACTCATACAACAGTGGTAGAGTACTTGATCAAATAAATACTTGTGTCGTAGCCAGTGCACTGGCAAATGGAGCAATGAGATACTGAGATGAGAAATAGAAGAGCAGTCCAAAGAAGATAGATATCGGCAGAGCTGGGAGGGCTCGACGGACAATTCCCAGTATCAGACTAGTCATGCACAGTCCCTGTGGTCGAGGGAGGGAGTAGGGGAAGGAAGGAGGAGACGAGGGAGCAATATACACATTAGGGTGAAACTGTACTGTATATAATTATAATAAAGCTGGAAAGTTTTGCCAGAGAGAACTATGACGTTTTGCATAATTAACCCTCGCCTGCGCGCATGAGCAGCGAGGGTTATTGTAGTCGGTCTGTCAGTGTGTGCGTGTGTCCGTCCGTCTGTCTGTCCACCGTTTTTCTTGCTAACCGCGGCAACTCTGAGCGTGAAACGTGGACATATTATCAAGTAGGAGGGCATGCATGGTAAAATAAGATTCTGGAGCGGAGAAGGCCGGGGAAGCTGGTGAAACGGACTGAGGTGAGTGTGCGTCTGATCCACAATGAATAAAACTTTCGTGGATGGCTAATCAACTGAGAAAACATTACAGTTTCTCCCTCAAAACTTTCCTTTCTTTGGTATATATAATAAGTATAGGTTAGACGCTGAGCTGCGGGAACTACGCGATTTAGTGAGCCGAGGAGCCCTGAGCTGTCGGCGTCCCGAGCGTAGCGAGGGCGCTACTAAGGGCTCCGAGGCTCACTAAATCACGTAGTTTCCCAAGGCGACGCGTCTAACCGGCTTAGACTACAGCGCAAGTCCGTCCCGCTGCAGTGTCCGTTGTAGGCGTTGCTGCCCTTCGGGATCGCGCCGGCCGACCGTTTGTACGCGTTTTTCCCTGTACGCTTTCTCTAGCGTCTTCCTTGCTCTCTAGTAGTCATGCGCTGCTGCTAGAAGAGCCTGTTCCTGGTTTCTTCGTCGGAAGAACCGCTCCAGAAGCTCGGTTCACCGTCCGCGCGCGTGGCGTCTTTTCGAATTGAAGGCGTGGTTGCCGGGGCTACGAATAGTTACCGCGGAAGAGGTCACTAACAAAAATAGTCACCGCTAAACTCGCAATCTGATTGGTCAATTGCGTGTTACCGTAGTCTAATTATGTATAGAGGCCATTCATTATGACTGTAGGTACATGTCTATATGCATCTGGACCTCTTCTGGACTCTAAACCGAGCAAGGGACAGCAGCAGCAGGCTGTTTAGTTACTGAGCCAGTCTGAGCTATGTTCAACATACTGCTGAACGGTAAGCAAGTCCTTATCACCAACCCTTATAAAATCTATGGGCATAACCCTAGTCCAGGGTCGCTCGCATGTTGAACATTTCCACTAGTGTATATATCCCATGTGCTCAAAATGTCGCGTCAATTGTACTCACGATGAGTATGGCAACAAAGCAGGAGGATATGATGACCCAGTCACCCTCACTGTCATGAGCAGCTTTTCCAACAAGGATACTGTAGAATATGAAGTCTCCAAGTCCCAGCTTGAACCCACGAGCTGCAGACACACACATCACAACATAATTGCACAGCACGTAGTACACATAAAACAACCTATTCTAGTGGAGTGGGCGTTAGGAGGTATCCGCAGTGTTCATGTGTGAAGTTGAGGGGACGGTGCATTCTACTTTTAACATTCTACTTTTAACATGCATGTTAACATGCATGTGTTTATTTACGCAACAATCACAGCAATAGAGTATTGCTTTTTGGTTGGTTAGTTGACCAATAACATTGTGCCGTCAGTTCTGTAGTTGCTGGATTAAAACCCTGTGAAGTCTGAATTTCCACATTGTGCATGCTGACTTACGTTCCTCTTCCTCCTCCTCCTCCTCGTCATCCTCATCACTGCCACTGGGAGGATGATCAGCACTGCCACTGGGAGGGTTATCAGCACTAGCTCCACCACTGCTGCTACCTCCTCCTCCACTCGCACCTGCTGGCGATGGGTATATACAGTACACTAGTTGAAAGACAACAAAAATAATGACCACTACCACCACCCTCCCTCCCCACCACAGTATATACCTACATATAGGCCTTCCTACAATTTAAGTCTCCGGTATTTGAGCTATAATTATACTAATTCATACATATTACAGGCCTGCATCCACATGTAATCAACACACCAATGTGCTCACATAACTAGAAATATGCAGTGTCCGAGTGGCATGGTGTTGTGTCATACATGTTCTTACTTGTAGTATTGTCTTTGTCTTTTGACTGGTCCTCCCTGTCAGCCATGCCCACAATCCACACCATCGTTGCTGCCATGAGCAAAGTAAAAATGGGAATCTATACATACGTACTTATACATACATACATACATACATACATACATACATACATGTGTATTGTACAAGTAACGTACAGGAATATATGAGAGATGGGAAGAGTGGTTCATTCCTCTCTCTGGCTGTCTCCACCAGGACACGCAGTGGTCCTTTCGGACAGAGAACTGCCACCAGATCTGACAACATAAAATAGTACATATGTATGTACGTATGTATATAGATAGATAATGGTTAACCGTTGTCACACATGCACAGCGAAGGTTACAGTACTTGGTTAATGTCTGTTTGTGTTTTCCGTGACTTATTAGTAGCTAATCTGATCACAATTTGGTTGAAATCACACCATGATGAAAGGTACTCAGAACCAAATGAAAAGCACTAAAGTGCAAACCCTCGGCGAAGTAGCTCGCAGAGAGTCTGACACAGGCCAGCTACAGTAGTAGATAGCACGCGAGAGTCGATACACGCCATTCATTGTGACAAGATAGACAGAGCAAGCGGACCCGGTCGAGGTAAGCCTGTGCTAAAAATAAGCGCATGCGCATTAAAAGCCAACGATAAAATGGCGACTACAGGCATTTGCCATACAATGCTGGAAGCACTCTAGCTTTGCAACGGAGCATTTTCAGAGAAAACCGTTCGAAGACCTTCATTGCCCGTTAAGTAGGTCGTATCCTTTGTGAGACGAACAAACACCCGAGAAGTGAGATTGAGAGTAACAGACACACAGACACACAGACAAACCCAACTACAGTAACCCTCGCTGTGCATGCGCGCCGAGGGTTAATCACAGACTCGCAAAACTTACTCACATGCATATCAAAAGCAAGCATGGTATTCTCACCATAGATTGCAATGGCACCCAAGAGCACCCAAGTTGTCCATGGTGGCAAGTACTTGAGGAATCTTGTAGCCTGCACAGGTAATACAAATACACAGCAATCAGCATGTATTATGTGTTCATACAAATGTACCTAGTACATCAGTGTACATACATACAATTGTGTGCAAACACAATAGCTCTTGAGGGCCTAAGTGGGATACTTTCAAAAAGCAATTTCAAAGCTTGTGAAAAAGTAGAGACACCTTGCAGGCTACATAGGCGAGCACACTCTACTACCTGACCTACATACCAGGGCAACTCAGCAGCTAGGGGTTCCACAATACAACACAAGACAAAGGAAAACATCAAACCACTGTCCTACACTCTCAACCTCACCACGTAGTACGAGCAGACAGAGAAAATTAAACAACCAAAGACGCCCAATTTCAGTGCATGTGTCATCAACAATGTCAAAGCAAAGGCAAACAGACCGACAATGCACAGTGACATTTGTCCAGTTTTTTTTTAACCCCTCAGAAGTGTGCCCTGAAGGACTCACCACCCCAAAGGACTCACCACCCTGAAGGACTCACCACGAGAGCACTGATGAGGATGAGATAGGCCTGCTGGAGACGCAGAGGTCCCTTCCAGTGGATGACTATCAGACCAACCGCCCCAAAGTTCCAGATGAGAAAAACAAACGAGAACCAATCACTGGCTAGATTGTGAACCTCTAGTATCTCTCTGTAAAAAAAGAGGACACAAAACGTGTTTACAAACTCATACAGTCGAGAGCCCATCGTCAATCGTCCACGCAGAAAAAGTTCCTGTTGCAGTTTACCTAAAACTTATCTAAGCTGCACACAATGATGTACATTCATATTGCATGTGGAAGACAGATTACGCAACCCCTTGCAGTGCAATACTCACACACAGTAGAGTGTTGAGAAGAAAAACAGCAGAGACCCAGATGCCACGAGAAGCCACACCTGTATAGCCTGTATCATGTACGCAGTGAACAGGGAATAACTTGAGGAAGATCTTCAGTTTCTGTAATAATACTCAGGTGGCTGCCATAGCACTAGGGCCATAGACCACGCACCCAGAGAAATGGGCGGAACTGTTAACAAACGAATATACACCATATGAACATGAGGTGTCTGTCTCACCTCCCAGACACCTCAACTCACCCCTTCCACCAGCGACACCCTGCAGCTCCCCAGACGCAATCTGAGACTGGGTTTGTTATACGCCGGGATTATCGCCATATAACCTAACCTTTCTTAGCTCCCAAACATCCGAAATAAAACCTTAACAAGGCGAAGCAAAAGAACCAAATTATCCCTCCCACAGCTCACTACCCAATATAAGGATGCTTTCCTGAAAACTATCAAGCGACTGGAAATGCTCAAACCCATCATCCCAAGCTTTCTCTTGCAGGGCAACTAAGAATTGCTCTTAAGACTACTATATGCTGGACACTCCCACAACACATGACTCACACTTTCACACTCATCATCACACAACAGCACTCCTTCATCCCCTCCTCCCCCTATGCCTACCCAGTTCCTCATTTAGCCCATGCGTGCCTGACCTGAACTTAAACATTAATCTAGACCAGCATCACTTTTCCATGCAAGTACTTTTTGAACTCTACCACCTTGTTAAATGTCTTATGCTTTACTTTGCTATTTAGCCCCTCTTCAAACCTTCTAATCTCCCTCTCATTAATGCTGTCCCCTACTATAGACAGAAAGCCCTTCAAGGAGCAATCCCCATTTTGATTATCATGCAACCAAAATCATATGTAAACATATAGAGAGCACCAATCAATAGACAAAGAGGAGAGATACGCACAAACAAGAGCAAGCACGGAAACTGCAAGAAAACGATGATTGCATAAACCATATACAGTGTCTACATGCTATTGCTCACTGTTGATGCAGGCTCCAGTGTCAGTACAGATAAAGACTCACCCTGTAGCAGCGATACTTGAAGAGGCAAACAAGGATGACTGTCATGACCACCACTATCGCCACCACGATGAGAGCATTAATCAGGGCAAAGAGGAACGTCTGGCCTCCACTGCTTGCCTTGTTCTCGTTGAATGGCGTGTACACACTGTAACAAATACAATACTATTAACAAAGTACAAAGTGTTACTTTTTACCAACAGCACTAAAGTCCTAACCCAAAGCATAATATGTACAACAGTGCATCACTAGGATATGTAAAACGTTGAAGCAAATCAGAAGATCTTTCGTGGCGACACAGGTAACACACATTGCTATTAGAACATTACATGCCCAATGCACACGATTGTGCGTTAATTCGTAAATTCGAAGGCACATAGGTGACTGGCCATGTGTTCACAAACATTGGTGAATTCCAGTGAAACACTAAATAATTGCACACTAATATAAATAATGGATTTACAATACAGCACAGTAGTTAACTTACAAGTACTCATTATTTTCTTGCTCTTGAAGAACGATGCTCAGTTCAAATATCACAACAACGGCCATGCAGAGGGTGACGGGAACAATCAGCTGGATGATCTGCCTGGCTCCTTGTCGGAGGGCCTACATGTACACAACATGCTTTATTCAATAACTTGTGGTAAAATAATTGGCGAGCGGGAGCGAGCTAACCTACATAGTGGTTCCAACGGTGCGCTTATACATAATATGTGACGGGCACCACGACACTGCAGATACCGAAAGGTTTTACGTGATTCTAAATACACGAAACGGAATGAAATTTCGCAATCGTCTGTATTATAGATGTAGCTATCAGACAAGGCGAATTGCCATCGAGTCCAGCGAGTGGCTCGCCTAGTGCTACTACGCAGGAATCAACAGCAGAGAATTGCCACCGAGTCTGCCGAGGAGAGAGAGGGTCGACTGCAGTTACTACGCAGGAATCATGTGCATACGTCAGGATAACACGCTTCTACACGCTGTAGGATCGCTTGTGCAGATACAGTCATTGTGTGCTCGCTCCCGCTCGCCAAAAATGCCATGCATTCGCCTACTAGTAATGTATATATGCTTTTGTCCATAAGAGCCAGTGATTTTTCTGCTGGCTTCATTAGTCAAAGAGGTGATCATCAGTTTACAATTGGCAATGTAGTTACAGAACCTTTCACTGCAACGTAAGGTCTAAGAAAAGATTGCCATATACCTCGAAATCGGCATCACTGTTCTCGTCCTCGTCATCTCCAATGTAGGGTAGGACACTCAGGAGCTTCTTGCCACATGCTGCCAGTCCACATCTGCAGGACATGGACACTCTGTGATATATATACCTCCAGCCACACATACTACATACCGTCAGAAATCCACCTCTCGAAACAAGACACCAGGTTTTGTATTCACATTATAGTACACAGATATTTTTCACAAATTCATAGTACATGTTTGTATGTACAGAGAGAGGACAGAGTTAACACATTCTTACTTGCTCTGATTTCTTTCTTCGTCAGTCTCCACAGTAGAGGTATCGTGTTGGTCCAGCAACTCTCTGTCCTCACTTCCTCCACCCTAGCCAAATGGCAAAACACATACACACTTTACTGAGCCACCAGGAAAACCTATAGCATGGCTGGTGTTGCTTGGCACAACAAAATGGCGGTGCATACAATCAAGATTGCACTACCCAGTTTATTCTAATAGGACTGTATGTCTCTTTACTGTGACCACTCCCATAGGCACAAATATAGCTGTATTTGGGTAATTATGGTGCTTCTGTGATGCCATGCTTCTTTTAGTACTTGCGACTGAGAGATACACGTTGGGGGAAAAAGATTACATCAGGCCTAAACCTCTCGTGCTCCTTGTTTGTTATAAGCCTTTTTGTCTTATAAACGTAGTGATATAATATTACGTTCCACAACCTATGCGGCGAAGAAAATATATCGAATGTCACCCCACCCTCTTTCCCTTATGGGCACAAGACTTGCTGTATGTGCCTGGGTTGAGGTGGGCTACATTTAGAATTAGGCCACATGCTGGTGGATGCTGCTGCGTTACTTGGAACTGAGACTATACATAGGTAGATTATCAAAAGGCATACAATACAATCTAACCAACCAGCAACTCATACAGCACATACAAAACATATGTACCTTCGTTGTCAAAAGTGGGAACAGACAGATACTACAGAAATCAATTCGACCCGCTGTCTGATCGACATGGCTAAAACAAATTACTTTAACGGCTCTAAATTCGGTGGTCAAGTGAATAATACAATTACGAGCGACCAGAGCTGGCGGATTTTTCCCCGATCAACACAATCGTGTCGCTGGATGTGCAGTTGTACCTGGCGAACGTTGGGCTCCGAATCTGAAGTATCTGTCATTCTTTGAAGTAGATGAGACCGCTCATTGACACGTAACTTATCCGTTGAAACCAGTTGAACTTGACTTCGTCCGCCGCCTCCTCGCGACTGGGACATACCCGATGTGTACTTAAAGGGTCAAAGTTCACAGTGTGCCGATTCGTGGTACGCATGCGCAGGGCCGAGGGCCGATCTTCCATCCTCCTTTCCTCAGCACTTCCTTTCACTCTCACGCCAGATAGTTTATGGCGTACTATTGTTATACACCCATTGCTGGCTATAGCTCCTGCTTTCACCTTGTGACCAAGTGGCCGTAATGTAAGCTATTGGAATTCTGGTCAGGGGAGGTGGGAATCTGAGTATCCTGCTAATGTTCCTATCTTGAACAGATGGATAAAAAATGTATTTTGAATGTGTATAAGCAAGTACTTATGTGTTTGTGGTGTGGTCCAGCTCTTCTGAAAAACCAGGTGATTGCAGCCTTTTGTTATAATTATAATAAGAGTGTAAACAAAAAGCTCTATGTATAAGTTTCTCTAGCTACTTGTTCCATGTTCAGCCAGCATGTCTACTTGTTCCATGTTCAGCCAGCATATCTTACTGTGTGGCCCTAGAGCAGGCCTGGATGGCAGTGATGGTCACTGCCACAAGGTCGGTGCCAGATTCCTCAGTCTCGTAGCTGAGTCGCCCTCCGCTGGCTCCAAACCCAATCTTCTCCAGAATCGTAGTGAAGAGGTCGTGAGAGGTTGGGAGAGCTGGTCTGGAGAAGGTGTGTGCCGAGGAGCCCAGTGGCAGCTCCTTGAACTGAGGGTGTACATAAAAGCAAAGATAAAAAGAGACAGTGTTTCCGCCTTGGAGCTGTGCATGAAAGTGTTCATTCTTTACCAGATCAAAGAGAGTCTTCTTCTCTTCGTCAGTCAGGGACAGGATTCTATTAGAGGTAGCCGGTGAAAGCTCTGCAATATCGTATTACAGAATAATGCATTATTGCAGATGAGTAAACAGCCAAATGTGTCCACCTTTGAAGGCTTCAGTGGCTATGCCAAGTGCCTTCATCTGGTCCAGGTCCTCGGGAGACAGCTGTGACATCAGCTCTGGGAACAAGGTCTCACTGTCCTTCTCTCCAGAGTGTCTCACTAACCTCTCCTGTCGGGCCTGTAGCTGTACAAAGAGGTGTATAGTAACGCATATAAAACCTCATTGATTTTTGGCTGCTATGTGGCTGTACAGGGCCTTACTTCCTGACTGAGTTGTATAAGGGCACGTCTTGGTTTCTTCACAATTTCAATAAACTCCCTTTGTAGGGTACGATTTGCTGTCAGGGCTTTAACAAACACTGCCACTTCATCTATTACACCTGCATTCACCAAGAACAGGGGGAAATTGTTGGTAGATAGATAGAATAGAAAGTGTACCAGCATATGTGTCGCTCTGGAAGACTTGTTGCTCCCTACGGCCACACTGACGGTAGGCATAAGGATAGGCTGAATCAACTTCCTCCAATTCCGTTCCTGGTGCAGATGAACCATCCTGCTATATAGAAAAAAAATAGAAATCATGTAACAACGTCATTGTTAGCAGATGCAGCGCTATGATTACACTGATCAAAGTAATTCATCACTTACAGCCATTTTTAGCAAGTGGTGTTACGCTTTCTTACTGGGTCGGTCTTACTAACCGATTCTTCCACAGAGTGAGGGGTATATCCTCTGTGCCACACAGGCTTGAGGACTCCGTCTCTGCCCACTGACAGTCGCACCAGCAGAAACCCCAGCACAGTCTTGTCGGGTTTTGAGACCACTGCATACATAATGTTGGGGCTTACGAAGGGCATGCCTTAGTAGCTAACCAGTAACAACAGTAATGATAGTAAATACCTCATAGAGGGACAATAGATCCCTTACTTTCAGGTAGCTACCATATAGCAAACACCCAACTCTACACCATTTTTCATGCTTGTCATAACTACGTATAATGTTTACTTGATAACTGCCCCCATGATTCCGCACATAGCTAACATGTAAGAACATAGAGGCATTTCAGGCTTATAGTTTTGAAGATGAAAAACATACGTGGCAGCTCTACTCATACCATTCTCCCATTTTGCTAGATCTGAGTCTTCCTTCTCGCTTATTTCCAGCTTCTCAGCCTCATACACAGTTGAGACGACGAAAAATTCGCCTCCGTTCTCCAGCACCTTCTGCACTACTGGACTCCCCAGGTCCAGCTTGAGCCTACCCGATGTCGAGTCCAGAATGCCCAATAGATTGGACGTGGTTTGGTAGATGGCGCCGAAGCTGGCCCTCACCGTGAGATGGGGCCGGCCTGATCGCTGCGTCCGAAACTCTCTCGTCGTGTTCCGGCCTCCGGTGTTGGAAAAGAGGGTGGATTGGGGGCGTACCTGGCCCAGCAGTCTAGTGCATTCCGGAGCGAGAATACTACTCAGACTAACAGGATCGCCGCCGTCCACTGTCGCGGCGAAACGCAGGTTCTGTTTCCGCCAGGAGACAATCGTGGGCTTTGCGGAGTGATAGACGACGTTACCGATGGCGTATCTTTCGGGTTTTTCCAGCTCTGGCTGAATGGCCGCTGGCAGTACTCGACCTGTTGCCAGTTGAAAAGCTTCGTTCTTCTCCATCCGTCGATCGCCGTGCCGCGCTTGGCCCTATTTGCGCATGCTCAGTTTTGTGCCGTAGCATAGCGCGCATACCGATACTTGGTTTTATTTCTATTTCCTAGTTACTTCCTACTAGACGGAAATTTGCTATACAGTGTGTTAGCTACATGATAATGGGCAATTTCTTTCTCCAAGTCACACCGCCACCACCTCACCACTTTCATATATAGCATATGGGAAGGGTCCGCACCATTAAGATTGCAAAGACCGTTTCACAGTATAATTATAGCAAACAGAAGAGTAGATAGCACTGGCTACAGCTGGCTACGTAATATCATGTAAACGGCGCATAATTGTAATGGAGATGCAAACCATTCAATGGCACCCTGAAGAGCTGACCTGGGATTGTAGCTATTCAAACCTATGACACACTCTGGACATCATGGGTAACTGTTCCCTACTACAAACACTAGATCCTCATGGTTGGCATTAAATGAAGAAGTGACACTCACTATGACTGACATGAACCCATCACCCTCATTGTAGGTCTAGCCCACTAGACAAACTGTAGCTTTTTGAAGGTTGCTCATTGTTATGTGAATAGACAGCAGTATCGACAGGTGTTGTCAGCCGGGGTATTACATAACGTCATACCTTTTTCACCCTCTCTTTCTTTCCCACTTTACTAGACTAGTAGGCTGGATTTGTCATTGAAATATACATTGCGTAATCAACACAAACTTAACACAAACAAAGCGAGTTCAGAAGCATAGACTGCCACTAGCACCATATATAGCAGTCACAGCAATTGACCACTAATAGAAACTACGAGAGAGTGCTGGATGACCCGGTCAGGAATACGAACTATAGTCATGCAAAATGCGGCATATTGCAGATGATGTGACACTGAGTCTATTTCTTTGCAAGTGAGAGTAAGGAAAATTCATGCATTGGCAGTGTATATGGAGAGGGACATAGCTAGAGACATGGCAAACAAAATCATTCCTGACATTACTTGGTGGAGAGTTATCCAGAGGTGATGGAGAGAGCTGTCCAGTAGGTCTGATGGAGACCATATCTCGTCCTCTACACCTCTCTACTCTCCTTGTGTCTTGTCAACAACCTCCCTCGATTTTCCATTCTTCTTCGATAGATTGTAAAGTATAGGGAGAGGGCAATAATACCACCCACTAACACACTTTGAAGACAGAGTTCTGAGCCAAAGCTACTATAAAAGGAGTGGTATGTCTATGTCTGCCCAGTGCCACAGTCCGAAAGGCTTGCGATCAGGCAAGGGAATGTGGCACAGGACAACAGTTCTCTCCATATAGTCACATTGATAGTATTGGGAAGTCTTTATATGAATCATCTCTGACTCAGTTACTTGGAATGGGGGCCTAATCATTTGTGGCGACTGGCGAAAGTTCAACTGTGTACCTACAGCACAGATGCAGGTGATGCTCTTGCTCTCTATAAAAGCTGCTCGGGGAAACTCTCATACACTCAACCAGCAGCTTGTTGAACTATTTCAGAGAAGATGCAGGACACGACAATTGCGGTCCTGAAGGTGTTGGTGGTGCTAACAACACTGACTTCAGGTCTCTCTGTACAAGAGCCACATAAGGCACTCAGGCGATGGAGAAGACAAGAAGGTCTATACACTCCACGGAATCTTAAGAGGTGTGATCTTTCTTAATGTCATAATTGTAGGTCAACCCTTGAGATGGCAATGTGACCACGATGTGAATGGGTGCTGGGTCACCATGACGTGCAGGACAAATGCAAACTTGAACCGCAGCTCTCTTATCTGCCATTTGGAGGGACGAGATTTTAAATGTCAGTGTGAGGAACAAAGTGTTACTCGCACTGCAGTTAATTCATTCATGACTCAGGTGAAGATGACCGGAATCTGGATCATTCTGTGAGCTTGTCATTCAGTTTTGAGGCTAACCTTGCATCAGTGAATGATGGAGGGTATCATAAGATGGCCATTTCTGTGAGAGGGGTTCTCAATCGTCAACGGTACACTCTACCTTGGCACTTCAACTTCAGGGTTGATCTGTTCTACTGCCGTAAGTACTTTATCTTACAGTTACCAGTGTGTAGTGTAGATGTTCCTTTATTCCTCCTGCTGATTGCAGCCCCCCTTCATGGTGTGGGTACACCGACATTAGCCACTGCAGCACCAACCACTGCAGAGCTCCCCACCACAGCCACCACAATGGTGCCAGTGACATCAGTGGAGACTACAATGACACCTACATTTACCCAACAACCAACCACACAACAACCAACAACTGAACGACCAACACAACGACCAACAACACAACGACCGACCACTCAACGACCAACAACACAACGACCAACCACCAGACCCACATCACCATCATTGCCAACTGCCCCACCATCTTTGCCCCCCCTCCTCCCACCACTGGCAATATGCAACACTGGAAGGGGCTCTAACGGGGAGCTCATCATCTCCTGTATCTCAGACCGTGCCATTGGCAGCATTTCATACGAAGTCAATGGTGTTTTCATTGACACAGTGGGTAAGAGAGATCACAATAATATTGTTATATGTATAGGCAAATTACGTGTTACAGAATTACTACTCCGTGATCTTTTACAGATGGCAACTTGCTGTCCATCAGTGATGATGTTTTCAACGAGGGACAGAATTCCATTGAACTGACTGTCAATTACAACAACGGTCAAACATACATTGTTCTTATGAGCTATGAAGTTAACAGACGCATAGTACCAGGTATCATTATCCTCCGTCATGCTCATGTTACAATTATTATATTCTTGCAGTTCCCTCGAATGTACAGCCTTGCATCCTTAACTGTAACGGAAGGTTCACTTTCGTTGATGGAATGACTGTCTCTTGCACGGTGGACGATGACCCTACTGGAGAAGGCATCACCTCCATAGTGTACAATGTAAACAACCAGGGACTCTGGTTAGGTATGTAGGCAATTCTGTACTTAGCTACATACAGTTAACGTAAAAGAGGTTAATTCTTATACCTACCAAACAGCTAATGCAATCCCTACGTTTGCTGTGGGAGCGGAGCAGTTTCAAAGTGGTTTGAACCGTGTTGAGGTAACTGTCAGTCATGATGTATGTGGCAGGGCAAGCCTACGCTTAGAGTTCCACATTCCTAATCCTCCAGAAGGTAAGCAACACAGTCTGTACACAACCAGACAAACAACTTCTTTGTCACAGTATGTCGGGTAACGTGTACCTACCGTTTTCTGGATGATTTCATAAGATTTGAGTGTGGAGTTGACAGCAGTGGGGGATTTCAATCAGTCAGCTACACTATCAATGGACCTCCTACTTTCAACATACAAATCTCAGGTAGGTTTGTCTAAGTTTCTATGACCTGAATGACCGTGTTATTAACAGAAGGTGGAGGACGCACAGAATTCCAGATTCCCCTCAGTCAACTCACAGCTGGGAGAAGAAACACACTCAGACCAATGTTTGGGTTTCTCTGCCACGGCCAAAACAGGAGAGGCTGAGCAATTGCTTTACATCCAGATGTAACCATGAGGAGCTTCAAATGAGACTTTTCCAATAGGCTAAGAAAAGCCTGAAGTCTTATATCACAACAGTGTTATTATATTTAACTCATCATGAATTGTTTTTACCTGATATTGCTCGTATTTCTGAAATCAGACAATGACAGTCAAGCTATACTGGCAAAAAATTATGATCTACTGCACTAGACTGTGCATGCTTTTCTGCGTGTTTATAGGGAGGGTTAAATTGATGCACACAGAAAAACATGCACTATTTAGTTGACAGAGAGAGGGGTCTGGCTTGATAGACTACTTACCCCAAAGCCAAGGTGGTTTTTATAAAACTAGTATAGTCACTTAGCTACAGTCCCAAGCGCTAAGACATCATCACTTCTTTCTCTATGCCCATTTTTTCAGTCATTTCGTGTATGTGCGTATTGCAACCCATAAACACAGGTCTAGCCCACATTCCTGCAGTGACCCTCCTGTCTGGGCTAGCTAAGTCAGTGCCAGACTCATCAGTCCAAACAGCTCTAAAGGAGCCATGTAAGACAGGGAAAGTAGACCACTCCTGGCATGAAAAAAGTGAAATTTCTCTCGGTGACTCAGGACATTTTAATCTTGAGAATCATCCTACCACTTAGTCAGGTACCACCCACTGCAGCTGGCTAACCTCAGTACATTAGCAGTACAGTAGTGCCTGTGTATGCTTTGGGCAGTTATGTAATGCTATCTATGAACACCACAGTATAAGCTTGTGTGAGCTGATGCATTCAAGGGAAAAAACATTGTACAGTAAGAAAATGCCACAGGGAAGTCACAATCGACTTGGGAATGGATTTGGGGAGGTAAGGACGCTGTCACACCAAGGGTCTCCAATAACATAGTACAAAAGCAGTCATCGCAGATGCCTAAAGCAGTTTGGCAAGGGGCAGCATACATAAAGGAGGCATAATAAAGGAGTAATCAGACACATTCTTGGGCACGGACTTTGTAACCATGCATAATTATGAAGCTCATGGTGCAGTTACACAGACCATAGCTTTTCTCTATGAAAACCAGCAGATAGCTACCCTTCTAACATAATTAGCTACGCCACCTGAATTATTCGTCATTGTGTGCACACTTTCGACCTGCAGCCATACATGGAGTTCAGTTAGTGGATGTGGCAAAAAGCGATCCTACGAATAAGTGTCGGCCGATGAGTCGCAAGGCCCGTTTTTGTATAATTAGAACCGTCATCCGAGCGAATTCTCTCACTGCTTGACATAGCGCGCAGGAGACTGCTCGGTGCGCATGCGCAGCGAGGGTTTTTCCGTCTGCCGCCTCACACCGCTATTCTGGCGGCACTAGAACAGCGATACAACTAGAAATGCTGGAAGAGTTATGGACTTGAAGAACACCGCCTTTATCCTATCTATTCTGACCTTAGTTGAGTGAGTTCTTGTTTCCGGGGCATTATACACTCTCAACCTACGTATTATACTTCTACATACTTCGGACTGTTAAACGGAATTTACAGTGATAGCTACGTAGCAAAACAGCTATATATCTGACCCCAAAGAATTACTTTAACGGACTTTCGTCGTGTCTATTCTAATAGCGTTTCAGTGCAACAGACAGTACCTCGATGCCTTCTGAGTAGGCTGGACCTCTTACCCTGTCTCTACCTCAGTCCAGATATTCATCGTGCAGGACTGAAGTGAGTGAGGTAGCTCTATGAATGCATGTAGCTAGCTATGCTTGCAATAAATTATAACTGACTTGAGATAATTATACAGTAATTATAAGCACTTATCATGGGAATTCGTATGTACATGATGACCTATACACCATGACCTATGGCATTGATACTATCAAACTGTGGTCTTTTATAAAAACATTTGAATGCCTGGTTAACCAAGGGTCTTTGTTTTACACATCTTCCCTTTGTGTAGCTTCATCAGTACTTCGGAAGCAGCGATAGTGGTGTGCCTAGAGTGACCAGTCTGTTCAATACATGTATAGCTATACCCCATTACTGTATGCATCGCCAAAATACTTGCTATAGCTAGCTACATCTTTCTCTATCAAAAAATGAGGTTCACTGACTCTTTCTTTCAAAACCAACAGTGAGTACTCAGTGCATTACACGACGCTGGTAACCTCTGAATCTGGAAGCATTGAGTGCCATGTCAGCCCAAGGAAGCAGGCTATAAGACTAATCTCAACGGTTAGCTCCAGACATTTTAAAGTCATTCAGTCTCCTGGATTTGGCATTAGTCAGAAGTAAGCTGCCAGTGAAGGCTGAGGAATGATGTTACATGACCATAATTTACTTGGTAGGTACTATGATAATAACCTTCTGGCACAGTACAATGTGTACTGTGAAGAGGATGAGGGAGCAGTTTATAACATTCCTTTTTTGGATGTTCAAGGAGCTAATGAATGTCATGAAGATGGAGAACCAAGGTTTAATACTGCTGTGCGTTTAAATTTAACAAAACTAAAGGATTTGTGTTCTATCAACAGGTGCATGGATTATATTCTTATTGACAGTGAAGCAGAGG